GAATAAGGTATAAATAAATTTTTTGCTTCATTTGGCTGTCTGAAAGCAGAGATTAGCATGATTTTATTTGCTTCTTGGTCTTCTATCTCTGCACCACCGATGAATGTAATTGATCATTATCTGTGTTCCGGAGCCTAAAATAGCTTTGATTTCCTCAGAGTTGATAAAAACATCTGTTTTTTTTGCTGTGGTTGGATGATACTTCCTTCGAATTTGGGTTGTAGATGGAATGAGTTTATCTACATCTTCTTCTCTTGGTGTTCTATTTAAATTTCTGGAAGTTCTGGAATCATCTTTTTCATTCTGCCGTTTATCTGGTCAGTCTCTTGCAATGTGTTGATAGCTTTCACAAATATAACATTCTTTACTTCTTGTGGGAAAACCCTTCTTGTCTTGAGTATTCTCTTCCCATGTGAGAGAGTATATTTAGGATGTATCCATGAATCTCGGCGGTCATTTAGTTTTGTTTCAGCCTTCGTTGAAAGATTTTTGTGTTGCTGCAAAATAGATATCGCATTCTTAGCTAATTCTTACGGTTTCAAACATTTATTTTCTTGGTGTGTGATGCTGTTTCTCCATCTAAAGCATGAAATAATTTATCAGAAGTAATTAATTTCTTGAGTGTTTGAAATCTTTTACTTCTCTTGATTTATTATATCAGTCCTAGTGTGGTTGTCATTCGTGAAGCAAACTGGATATGCCTTTCCCAGGAATAACATAAGTTTTCTGGTTTCTAAAGCTTTCTAAGCCACTATTCCAGAATAAGAGCTTTCACTTTTTGTAATTTTGCAGATCTTCCTCTTTTATGTAGATCAGGATGTTTGAAGCTTTTTCACTGATTACTTTCACTAATATTTCTGCTTTTTTTTTTTAGTCCAAAGGGGCTTTGTCCCTGAAGGACTATTGTTTTCGTTTTGCGATTTTGCGTCGGACTCATGAACGTCGGTTCACTTTTCAAACTGTTGCCACAAAATGTTAGAGTCCTGCATTATATTTGAAGAAATTAAATAATGAAAAATCTGCATAAATGATTGTCTATTTCTCGCATTGTGATAAAACAATGTACATAGAGCCATCGAATTTTGAATGACGAAATCCTACTGCGAATATGGGCATCTGAAATCCCAAATTTGGAATTTGTTTTATTATAGATTTTATTTTGTAAAACTTTAACGAATTTTTGATTTACAAACTCAATGCTTTAAAAGCGAGAAATGGCAACGTTATATATAAAAAAAATACTTTTATCTCCATCTCGCGAGACTGTGTATATCGGAAATTCTAAAGATATGCTTAATTTAAACATTATTTTTGCGATATTGCTCTTGAACTGAATTTTATGGTTTAAGTGCAAAGAAACATGATATTTAATAAATAAAAGGTAAAACACTCAAAACGTTTAAAAAAAGCCCCTTTGGACGTAATTTAAAATCTGAAAACATTTCAGTTTTTTTTTTTTTTTTTTTTTTTTTTTTTTTGTGTTGTGTGTGTGTGTGTGTGTGTGTAATTTTGCAGATTTTTCACCTTTATGTAGATCAGGATATTTCAAGCTTTTTCTCCAGTTACTTTCAATAATATTTCTGCTTTGAACTCTTCTGGAATTTTCTTGTGCTCTTTCAATAGAATTGAAAAATGTATTCCATGTTTCTGCTTTCTTTGGTACTGGCATAGTCAGTGTTTCTACTTCTTTGATAAGCTTAGCTTCTGTGCTGGTGTTTTGGGTGGAAGGTCTCGGACTTTCTCCATTTTGAATTGCTCAAATCTTTGCTAATTCAATTTTGTGTTCTTTTTCAGTCCTTTTGTATTTTCAGTTTCTCTTCCATTTGTATTACTTCGATTACTTTTCTTCTGTTCTCATTATTCATTTCATCTTTTCTTGTTCTATTCTCAGTTTCCATTTCTCTTTTTCCTTTTCTGTTTTTCAAGATAGTAGTCAGAATTTTTTTCGAAGTCAGTATCTTGAATGGATTCCTTGCAGTTCTACAGTTTATGTTTCAATTTTACCAGTTTCAAATCTGTTGTTGCTTCTTTGCCAATTTCCAATAAGACAGTTACCAAATCTTCTTTTCTTCATGTTTTTGAACATTTTGTTTTCTTTTAAACTTTTCAACTTCAGAACATAATTATTCTTATGCTTCTTATTCCGATTCAGAAACGCAAACTTCTTTCAGTGTGTGGCATATCCCTTTTTGTTTTCACTGCTCTGGAATGTGAGTCGAAATCGAGGGAATTGTAATAGCTTTGGCCATTAACAAGGCACCATTTGACTAAACAGAACAGAGTATTTATTAAAACAACATTAAAGCATAAAATTAAACTCTGCAGAATACTGCTTCTATAACATACAACTAGCGAGCACCTTGCTAGTTCTCATCAAGTGTTCAGCTCCCTTAAATATAATAACCTCTCAGGAGAAGAGATGAAATGCACCAAGCAGGCTTTGTAGATCGCCAAACAATCACCAAATATTACGTTACCCTCTAGCTTTTCTTTCTGTCAAAATATGCTCTGAGATGAATCGCATTGCATTCAGCCCTTCACCATGCTTGAGCTAAAGAGAGCTTTGTTGCAGTCATATAGGTCTAGTCCAGGTCTAGATGATGTGAGTTAAGAAATGCTGAAGCATGTCTTTTCTAAGTCAGCTGCCTTTCTCAGGACACACATATATCAGGGTACGTACATATATACATGCATACATGAACATCCATATGTACAAGCATATATTTCTGAATGCGGCATACGATAATAGAAGAATACGATTTTTTTCTTACCACTGATTTGAATAAGCGACTAACAATATAAGCTCTTAATCTTACACCATCCCATCCTATTCCATCCCTCTTACAGTTAGTCCAGTTTTGCTGTTTATACTGTTGTGGTAATGCTGTGAAAGTTTGATCTTAATTCCTCCATTTTTCTTCCTTTTGTTGCAAGTATATGATGGCTGCTGCATTAGAAGTTTGCAACAAAGAGGAACAACAGGCAGTGATCCGATTCCTCTGGTCGGAGGGTGTCAAAGGGTCAGACATGAATAAGTGAATCAGTATCAATGAGGTAGCATCTGCTTTTAACATTAGTCATGTTTCTGGCCATCAAATCATCCACGACGAGCTCGGTTTTCATAAAGTCTGTGCACAGTGGGTACTAAGAAAGCTTATTGCAGAACACAAGCTCACTCATGTTAGTGTATGTCAACGCTTTGTCAAAACACAGTTTTATGTGATAGTGTACTTTTCCCATATTCGATGATAGTCTGTGATGAATGTCAGACCCTTTGACACCCTCCGACCAGAGGAATCAGATCACTACTCATTGTTCCTCTTTGGTGCAAACTTCTAATTGAGCAGTCATGATATATCTGCAACAGAAGGAAGAAAAATGGAGGAATTAAGATCAAACTTTCACATCATTACCACAACAGTATAACAAAATATACGAGAACAGAAAGTAAAGTGCACAATGTGAGAAAAGTTATGACAAAAATGTAGATAATTTTTGACTTGCACTCGTATTTTGTATTATTTAACTTCTTTGATGGCAAAATATTAGCCCACTGCTAGGCTAACAAAATTTATTTTGACCAAATTTTCAAATTAGTGTATGTTTTCATACTTCTGACCATTTTATAACTATCTTCATTCAAATTAATTCAAATATAATACAAATTCGATTCAAATATTATTTGAAATTAATGCCATTAGAATCTTGAAATAACTAGTGTTTATTACTTAAAAATTTGCTAAATATAACCTATTTGGTCGTTCTGAGGCACTATTTGAATTGAACCTTGAGGGTACAGGAGATGACCACCCCTCATTTACTACAGTCAAAAGTCTTTAATCCGGACTCGTAGGGACTTCGGCGATTCCGGATTATCGATTTTTCTGGATTATAGATCATCAGTTTAAATCTGGTAAGATGGCATGCAGAAATTATAAAATTAAAAATATGGAAATTTAATTTATAAAATAATGAGCAATTATGATCTAAAGGGTATCAAAATATACAAAAAAAGAAGCTTAATATTTATTTGTTTACTTTATTAAACATTTCTTTCAACGCGCGCATGCGTACCTTACGCATAGCTGAAATTATTGTAGAAAATTGCAACCAGAAAACTATTTGATTTGTATTCGTGATATTTATAATGACGAGGAATTTGATTTAAGTCATATCAAAGACGGAGGAATTATAAGCCGAATAAAATAAAAACATCTGCCCTGAAGATAACGATAGTGCTGACAGATCAACTTCCAAGTTCATTGCGTACCGCGACATCCCCCCCCCCCCACGCGCGCAGGCAGTGGCGTGTAAAATTGATAAACAGATTTTCGGAATGGTTAGATAAACAAAGGATATACCTTTATCCATTTTTTGTAGCAATTTGTTTTTTGTTTGATGGACATCGAAACATACTTTCGTTTTCTAGATCCTTTGGGAGCTCCAGCATCAGAAATTCTATTTGACATAATCGAAAGTTCAAGCTTACTTTTATAAAATTGCTCTTACAGTCTGCAAAAAATAATAAGCCGGATCCAATTCGAAGATTAAGGAACAACGCAATCATCGACATTAACTGAAATAGATAATTAGATAATTTTAGCTTACACCGTCCGTTATACATTAAACGCGCACGCGGAAACGTATTCTGCGCTTGCGCAGACGCATATGCGCAGTCGTAAATGTCTTGCGCGCACGCGTAAAACACCTATGAGCATGCGTCAACGCGCCGCATGCACAGGAAGATTTTAGCTTTGAGGTCCGAATTAACGACTTTTGACTGTATATCAGAAGTATTATGAGTTATTGAAATTTACCCTTGTTTATTCTGAAGACAACTTATATAACATTATTCTTGCTTTATCAAATTGTAGTTTTTTGATAAAAAAAAATTTTTATCATTTTTGTATAGAACAGTTGTTTTTAATGTCTGAATCAAAGTGCTTGTGTAAATTACTATTGTTGATATAATTTACTTGTTTATTCTCATTCTTCGCTAGGAATCTGATGATTACAATGTGAAGGAATTGTCATACAAGTATTTTAACTGTGATTGTTGAGCGTCTATTCAAGTCTTCTCAACCTTCAGATTCAGCTAATGACTTTTTATCAATGCTTATTCCTGTTTTAATGACTAAAATTAGTGAAAATGAGGTAATAATTTTGATGTAAAATTATGTTGTTTATTTATAAATGCAATTTGGTTTAATATGTATTATTTTAATGCAGCAAAGTAAACTAAAAAATTTTAAATATTAGTGAAGTTTTATCATTGCATTGAGAGTAAAAAAGTTCTGAAAAATATTAAGGTACTTTTCTGTTAAGGGGTTGCATAGGTTGTCATCAGAGTAGCAGGATCATCTGAAGTGAAAAAAAGAATCCGTGTTTTAGTTAAGGCTTCAAACTAGAAATTGGACAAAGGGGGGAAAAAAATGAAAATTAAATGTTTGACAGCTGTTTTCACATAAAAATGCAAAATTCGATAAAAATTTCATGGCATTTTGGGGGGAAAAAAATAGTTGCAATTGAAAAAAAAAAAAAACCTTCGTCCAAGTCCTTGTAAATTGTATCTCAAAGACCTGTTTAAAATTTCATCGAGATGGGTGGAGTAGTCTTCGAGAAATCTTGACAACCGACTTTAAAAACATAGTTTTGAGAAAAACGCGTTTAAAGTTTTGAGTGACCACAAAATTTTTTGCATCCGGCAAGCCCTAAACCCAATAATCTCATGACAAAAATAAACTGCCTATTTAGTTCATACATTCTGCCAATTTTTTGACAAGATAAAATATATTTCAGCGCACATCGTTTACATGCTACCTCAATTTTAAATTCCAGACCGAATTTCGAGCATTGTTTAAAGTTTACTTTTCCATTACACAATTTTTCTTCACCTTCACTTTCAATGACGTTTGAACACCGCACAAAACACGACAGCGATGAAAAAACAAGATAAAAATCGATGATGGAATATTGGAGCGTGGCTTCCTCTGGCACGTGCTCTTTATTTTCACCTTTCAATTTTTTTGCTGATGTGCTCATGAAAGAATCATCATGCTGCTCAGGATTTTTAGGATTGAACGACTGTCTCCGTTTCTTGGGTCGATCTTTTCTACGAGCACCATCCACTAATTGAGATCTTGAAACTTTGGGCATTTTTAAATATAATTTACTTTGGACACTTATAACCTCAAAATAAACCTCGTGGTTCAACAAGTGATCACCAAATGAAGTATTTCAACTAGTTGCCCTCAGAAAAAGAGAAAAGTAGCCATAAAGGACAAATGAACAATAGGCGAGCAGCTGCTCTTTTATACCTGTGGCAAGCGGAGCCCAGGTAGCCTTGAGCGCGCCACTTGAAAAGGCTGTAGCTTCAAAACTATTACTCGGATCAACTTAAAATTTTCGGACAATATTTGAGAGATGTTTTAGATTCTAATAAGCCAAAAAAAGAAAAATCAATTTTTTGAACCCGTGAAGCCCATGTAACCCCTTAAAGCCATACTTTGCATTATTGGCATATTTGGCCTATTTCTTTCCCCAAAAATAGCTTTGTCTCAAGCTTTGTTCAATAGCTTTGTCTCAAGTGGACATTTTTTCCCAAAATGTTTTTCTTTATTTTTTGAAGTTTTCTTTTTTGTTATTAAAATTGTTGGTAATGCCCCCGCCTCAGTTGGTTTCTTCTCCAAAACCCTCTTCTCCCCCCCCCAACAAAAAGAGAGAAGAGAAACATAAAATAAATACAGAATTATGATCTGTATGTATTTAATGCTGAAAAGTGACTAAATAAAACATTAAAAAATTAAAACAATGGTAATTAACACATTGCTGAGCACAAAAGCTTTAGAAAGTCATAGACTGAAAACAAGAATCTCATTTTTGTATGGTGATGGGCATTACCCTGAAAATCAGGTAGATGATGGCAAAATATGGTAAGCCACTTTTTTCAAATTGTCTGTAAACAGCATTTTTCAAGCTTATTCAATTTGCTGTTATGTTTGTTGTTCTGAAACTTTGCCATTTGACCAATAAAAGGTGCTTTGTTATGTGAAAAAAAATCAGTATTGGAAAATGATCTATCATATTTTGCCATCGGAAGCAATGTAACGTATAATTTATTTTACAGGACATATAATATGACTAAAATTATTTTTTGAAAGCACAATATGTTTAAATAAAATTTTTATTATTTGGATATGCATAGATGACTAAAATTTTTTTCAGTGATACTTGTTGAAGCAACTTCCTTTATGTAATGGTATGTCACAGAAATTGCACATGCACCGGGTGTCATTTCTATGTGATCTGTAAATGTGGCATACTGTCATTGGAAAATTTTTCTTGGGTGTTGTTTTTATACCCTGAAGGTATGTTTCAGGGTTCGTAGTGGTCCTTACAAGTGCTTATAAGTCCTTAAGTTTGAAAATAAAATATAAAGGCCCTTATAGGTGCTTACGTTTTCTTTAACCCTTTCGTGGGCCATTTATTTCTCTTTTGAATTTCTCCCATTTTTTTATGTTTTATTATCAACTAAACAATAGCATTTAAGGAAATATATTTTACTTTGCCAAATTTTTTGTTTACGTTTAAATTCTAGGTGTGGGAAGTATACTTCCCATGGGACCTTTTATGGTCATAGAGAAAATTCAATTTAAAGGCGATTATTTGCCGTGAAAAGATGAGAAACATATTGCAATGCACAAGGGTGCATCACATACTGCACACATATAGCAGGTCCTCTTTTCTTGGGAATTTGTGCAACATTTCCTACATCGTCTATAGTTGGAAACCATCTTTGGCATATGATTTCCCACATTGGCTAAGCGTGTATCATCCGGAACTGCACACCTTTTTGCTTGGAAGCTAGCAGGACGGCCTTTCCTTTTTCGAGGAATATCCATCTATTAGTTGACGAGCTAATGCTACACGGAATGTTAGGTGGTCTAACCTTCTGTTTCTCTTGTTTACTTGCCACAGTATAAAACTATTTATGATGCCAAGATCAATAAGAAAATCAAAAATAAGATGCCACCATTCTACAGATCTTCTTCCTATTTGGTATCTTTCTTTTCTTTGATCGAAGCAATCAACCCCTCCCATGATATCGTTATATATATAGGGCAACAGCTATACGGCAACAGCTTTAGGGCAAGGTACTTCTGTTTTAGTACCATCCTTTTATGTACGATTTACAGATGTAATAATCCCTGAATTGTGTGCAGTAGTCAACAATGTAACAGCCTTTTTGTCCATCCACTTTATTGCAGCAACACCTTCCTTAGTTAGGAACATTGATTCCCCTCTTTGTAGTTTGTTATTAGCCTTCAGCATTGGTGGAAGATCCTTCCTTTGCGGCCTCACAGTCCCCACAGAAAACAGACCACTTATAAGTAGACTTTTTGCAAGCCTAAAAGATGTCAAATAGTTATCATAGGCTATAAGATGTCCTGTCTGTTTCACATCTTCCGTTAGTTTAGTTTGTTTCCCCTAAGCTCAATATTTTACCCTTATTATCAAAAGTTTCTTTTCCACAATAAATTTCAAATTTTTGAATATATCCACTCTTAGAGTCTGCTAAACACCACACCTTGTAACCTCTTTTTATAGGCTTCATTGGCATATACTGCTTCAATGAAGTTCTCCCTTTGAAAGCTATCATACATTCATCTATTCGTAATGTTGACGAAAGTTCGTAGACTTAGGTATGGAATCATTGAGCTGTGAGAGGATTGGTCTGACTTTATCGAGTTTATCATGCCCAAGTTGCCCACATGGATTTGTGCTGTTATCGTTTACATGTAAAATCTCAGTTACTTTTTTGAACCTCTTTGCGATTATTATTCTTGCTACTGATTGAACACTGAGAATAGGGTCTGTGCTCCAGTAGTTTTTCAGTTCAGGCAATTGATGTATACCCATGAGTATATGCATACCTACCCATGCTTTCAATTCTTCTGATGTGATTTCTTTCCAGTTCAGGATAATGTCTTTTGTGGTATGACCCAATCTCTTCCTTTTCTTAGGCTGCTTTGCATATGAGTTTCGTCAACAATATTCTGTAAAATTTCCTCGGTAAAAATCATGCCAAAATAATCCTTTTCTTTCTCAGTAGAATTGAATGATATTTTCAAATGTATTTTCAAAAATATTCTAATTTTTCCAACATACCTATTGCACGTGGCTTTTACACACAATGCATTAGCATTTTCACTTTTCACACCCATTATTTATTATTCAATATTAGATAGTTCTTGCAGAAATATACAAAATAAGAGAACGTTGTTATTATAATAAAAACAGTGTTTTACTTACATTTGTAGCAGAATCGTATAGCAATGCAAATGTCAAATCAAAACAGGTGTCTCAGTGGAACAGATCTCTCACACAACGCATGTTCGAACTTTCAAAACAAATGTGGTAATTCTGTTTTCAATCGATTGAACACAGATGACAGCACAATACTGAAGTGGGAATTAAGAGTTCCCAACGTTATAATACCAAAGCCAATATATTATAGTGGGTTTTGCGCTTCCCACAGGTGTATTTCCCAGGATCGTATAGGTGGAAAGTAATCTTCCCACGGCCCATGAAAGGGTTAAATTCCTTATTTTTTTTTGTTTTTTAGTTTTTTTTTTTTTTTTTTTATCCTTTGTTTTTAATGAACACGCATTTTTTCCCCGTACTAAAGCCGAAGCTAAATAAACAGCTTTTCTTCCTTATATTCAATGTCAGATGGTGAATCATACTCCCGAAAATTGCTTCCCCCCCTTCCTCTGCATTAACGTAACCTATGATGCACGTCGTTCTATTGGCCAAAGAATTGCGAAAATGTTGAAAATTCCGGTACATTCAGTATTCTTTTTCTCCCACCCAAATACTACACACGTTTGAATTTCTACCAAGATTTTAATAAATTTGCATTCTCGTTCCGCGTGGTCAGTTTCATATTCGTGTTTATTATGATCGTTATGCTTATATTATGAGCATATGTATGAATATTTATTATAATATAATTGCAGTAACTGGTGAAGTATGGATAAACTTCCAAAAATGGGTGTGTTTTTACACAGATTAGCTTTCTAAGGAATAATATTCGGAATGGCTTAAATAAAAGGAAAGTAATCGAATAGTGAAAATAATTTTTTTTTTCTTTT